ATGCGGACGCAATTTAGCTGGCATGTGTGGCAGTGATGGGTCAGCCATGCAAAACACCAGGCGTGGCCCGTATCTTGCTGCCGCCATGGTAATGTCCCTGCCTGCTGTCCCATGCTCGCAGCCTGAATGGATATGCCGTCGTCAACGGGACCTGTGTCAAGGTGGGTAAGGCTGCCTCTAAGCTACACCCTGTCTGCAAGCGTGGTTCCCAACTGCCACGATAGCTTTGGCTGACGGGATGGTGTGCCAACAGCCAGCAGCCACATCGCCGCCCCTGGTCCGCCTTGTGCCCTGCTGCAGTGTGGCGCCAACTGTGAAGAGTGCTCGTCCAGGGCTCGCTGCACGATGTGCGCTTTTGGGTATGGCTTGAACTCCGCCGACAAGTGTGTGAAGTGCCCGGGCCGCTACTGCGAGGATTGCAACGGCAACAAGCCGCAGATTTGCAAGGAGTGCGAGCAGGCCGGCGACAGCGAGACCTGGCTGTCCAAGCAAAAAACATGCATCAAGGTGAGGTGAGGTCAGGGCTTTTGGGAGTTACCTGTGTTACCTGTGTTACAGTCACCCCGCTATGATAGGCCGCGTGAGCAGACCTTGGGCAGGGGGCACACGTGATCAAGGGGCATCAAGAGAGGGGGTGGACCATGGAGCACCCTCTCCATGGCTCCGACCACCCTCCCCCCAGCTGAGCGTCCCAGGGTCACCCCAACCTGGCCCCGCTCCCCGTCCTGCCGGACACGCAACCCCCACAACGTGGTGGGGGACGTGGGGATCCTTAGCAGCTTAGGCCTGCCAGGCCGACGGGTGCCGATGCTGGTGCGGGCTCCCGGCGGCAGGCAGCGCCGCCGCCGGGCACTCAAATGGCATGGGGCACATGGGCCCCCATGCCCGCACATCTCCCAGGCACATGAAAATACCAGAAGGCTGCACATGTAAGGGTGCATGCATTGCAGGCAGGAGACACACAAACATTCATTCATTCATTCATTCAGCACACAGCCCGGCCGCCTCTTGCTCGAGGGCGGCCCACTTTGGCCTGGGCAGCCCGGGCCGCCCTCCCCCCCGGGCGCATGTTCGGTGTTGGAGGGGTGTGCCCAGCGATAGGGGGCCCCTGAAGGCATGCGCCGAGGCCGGGAAGCGTGGTTCGGCGCTGCTGCACGCTTGGCGATTTGACCAGAACCACGTGCCGCCGAGCTGCGGCCGCAGTTTCCGGCCCACGGTCTACGGTCGCAGCCACGGGACTCGGCGGCACGGCGTTTGGGCCCAAGCTTGCGACGCCCCCGTGCTGCCGAGCTGCGGCCGTAGTTTCCTGCCAGAAGCCCACGGCCACAGCCACGGGACTCGGCGGCACGGAGTTTCGGTCCACGGCTTGCTGCCGCCGCCGGCGCAGGGGTGCTGCCTGCGGCGGCGGCGGCACGGCGTTTGGGTCCACGGCTTGCTGCCGCTGCCGCCGCCGCAGGGGTGCTGCCTGCGGCGGCGGCGGTAGCGCACGTGGCAACCCCCCGCGTTTCCTTGCCTCCCATCCACCGGACCCCGTCCTGCGCTTCACTTTGTTTAGGGAGGGGCTGCTCACTGCTCATTGCTCATTGCTCATCGCACACTGCTCAACGCTCATTGCC